CTAAAAGGCCTTTGCATCACCTGTATAAAAATACGTCTTCCTTTTGGCTATGCCTTCCTTCTATATGGAGCCCTTTGGGGCCTGGCTAACTTATCCAAATTCAACTTTTACCTCTGTCAAGAAATCTAAACCACTTCCCGAGGATGAGTCATCTTCACTTTAATCTTTCAATATCTCCTCCTTAGAACTAATGCATTATTCTATAATATGCTATTGTATGCAAATTTTTCTTTACATTTTATAGTCTCTTAAGACAAGACCATGCCTTTAATCTTTGTATTCCTATCACCAATGTTAGTAATAGGCACACAGTAGGTCCTTTTGGAAGGTTTAGGTGAAATGAGCATCATTCAATTACTTATGCTACTGATGGAACCCAAGGAAAAACATCCGAGTGTCAGTCATGTGACTGGCATGAGGACTTATGAGGAACTTCATAGTCCTCAGAGAATGTTTATGGTGATTGCTCTCTCCTTTGATTGACATTCACACTGATGCTTACTGCCAACTCCCCATTAGCTGTCCATCAATTCACAAAAGTTCCTATAAGCCCCTGCATTACTGAGTCTATAATTTTGCTCTAGTTTTATACCATGTGTTCTGTCTGTCATTTTAATTCATTCAATTTGTTGAACTTGACAAGTCCCCCGACCCTGCAAGGACTATGCACACAATATGTTATATAAATATCTTTATTCATTTATCTCGGTCTCAGCTCAAGAATTCCCTCTTCTTCATAGAGTCTGCCCCAGTCAAAAGTAGTAATACCCTTTCCTCACAATTCTTACTATACCCCCTCCTTTATTATTTTCCTAACACACTTGAAATTTCCTCTTGTTTATCTCTCTGCTCCTTGCTCTGTGATGAAAGAGAACTTATCTGTCTTATTTGCTAAAATAGTACAAGCATGTGGGCCCCATATTTAACTCAGTGGATCTGCCGCCTACCTCACAAGGGCAAGGACCTGAGTTCGATCCTTGGTACAAAAAAAAATAATAATAATAATAATAATACAAGCATGTAACAAGCAACTAATAAGTATGTGCAGACTTAATGGAATAATAATGGAACAGGGACATATTTTCTTTGCATAATGATTTTTTCATAAAATATTGTTTATAGAAAAATTTCTTGGGTTAGAACTATATGAAAGGACTATACCTCTCAGACTAAATCCAAACAGTTTATCAGTCTCCATCTTTCTCTCTCTTTTTGCTTGCTTGTTTTCCTGCTGTCTCTTCACCCTTATTTTGCCTTTGGCTGCCTGGTATATGCCAGGTATCATTGGTATGTATTAACTAAATATGTAGACTATGATCTTAAATGAAATATTTTAGTGTCTAACTGGGTCTGGCTCTTGTATGTGCTTTGTTTTGCAGAGGTTATAACAATTTGTCTTTGTTCAGTGCCTAACAGAGTGCCAGTGCATAATTATTCAAATGGTCCATCTATTTAAGAACCATTTAGAAGAACAAAAACACATATTATTTGAGATACTGGAAAATTGAGATAATCCAACACATTCTATATGAAATTCTGAAAAAACCAAGGATTACAATAATTTATTTATCCATCAGCCCTACAATAGTGTAGTCATGTAGTCTACAAAGAACATTGAGTGTCAACTATTTCACAATGAAAAGGCACAGGAGTGCAAAATCATAACATGTTCTGGAACTGCAACTGTTCAGTATTATCAGAAATAAAGTTGAAAATAGAAAAGGAAAGGAAGTGACAGGAGTTTAGGTGATACTGATAGGAATCAGATCATAAAATGCTTAAGTGGCATGGAATTGAGCTCATATTTTATTTTGTTGGTGATGACTCCTGTTTTGTAGGATCCTTGGAAACAGAGTATTTGAGAAAGAAACCTTGGTAAATGGTCTAAATAAAATAGGATGAGAAGAGTGCAAACAGTACAGTCCAAATAGAGAGGAGTATAGTTTTATAAATACCTATTTTGCAGGTCATATTGAAACTTGAATCCTAAGATGTGGAAAATTAAGTCAAAGAAATAAACTTGAGATGATCCACTGGATATTGGACTCTGGTAACCTTCCCCAAGATCCTTGAAAGAGTTAACATGCTACCAGCTTCACTGTACTTTAACTTTTTCACTTTCTTTAGTTTTGTCACTACAACAGGAAGTACAGGGAGGGTGGCAGAGCAATAGTAACTGATCCCTTAGAATCCTTACATTTACAACCACAGTGTTTCTTCTTTTTCTGTAGTCATCTGTCCCGCTCCCCACAGTCAGTTGTCCAGTATACCAGTGTTTCTGCGTCTTCCCTATATTTACTAGTATTCCTCCCTTCAGGTTTTCTCTTTTTTCATTCATCTTACCAAACATAACTTGGTAAATATTATGTATATGTTATATATTTATATATCAGTATCTTCCTGTGGACTTCCATCTTCTTGAAGAAAAGGTTTATGTGTATCATGAAGCAACTAGCCTGATATATAGTAAATATTTTATATATTGAATTCTTATTTAACTCTTTTAGCACCTAAAATATCAGGATGAAAGATACTATGTCACACAATTTTTCCCATTGTGCTTGGCGGACTATAGAGCTTGTAATCTACATGTGAATTGCATAAATGTCCTGCAAATAAATTAATTCAATCATTGACTATTTCCTGAGACAGACATCTAGCTATACCCAGGCAACTGATTTTCTACACAGATTTCCTTCCAGTGTTTTGCTTCTACAAAGCAAAACAATGGCTACTCGGCAAAGGTATGGGTAGTGTGGTATAGGAGACAATTTACTGAACTAATAAACCCTGCCTTTTAACTGAGTGACTCTGAGATGGACTGGAGATGACACATTTAACTATTTGAAAGTTATTTCCTCTTTCATTAAAGTATTTTCTAATAACATTTTAGCTCTAAAATATTCTTATTTATGTTTGAAGCTGTTTGAAACTACATTTTTGAAGGCCAGGTGTCGTGGCGCACTCCTGTAATCCCAGCACTTGGGTGGCTGAGGCAGGAGGATAACTGAGTTCGAGACCAGCCTGAGCTACATAGTGAATTCCAGGTCAGTCTCAACTACATAGTGAGACCCTGTCTCAAAAAAAAAAAAAAAAAAAAAAAAAAAAAAAATTTTTAAAAATACAAACAGGTGCTTAATATCAGAACAGTCAAGAGTCTGGATCTTAAGAAAATCTTTAAAAAAAATGGGGAGACATAAAAAACACAGGCCATAAGAATTTCTCTCAATGACTTTTCTACTGTACTTACTTAACTTTCATATGGTCCCACCTTATATTAACAAAACACAAAACACCCTAGGTGTGAATTTGTGTTTAGAAAATCATTTATGCCTTGATCATTACTAGTCAGAGAAACGGGGCCAGTTTTCTAGGTATCCCTTCAGCCAATACTTTTAGACAGAAATAAGAATGACAGCTATTACCTGGATATTTCATAAAAAAAAAGTTTACCTACAAATATCTATATAATTAAAGCAGAATTTATTTTACATGAAACAGACCCTTACTTTGTTGTCTGTATATTTGAAAAATAGTGATATAGTTATATTCATATTTTGGTACCCTACTAAAAAATAAAAGTATTTGTTTCCGGAAGAAGGCCTATGACTAAAATATCTAGAAATTTTCTTCAGAAAAAAACAGATTATCTTGATTGACTTGTTTCTTATATTTTAATTAAATTGCATTGTTCAAACATCTGAAATATTTCTTATTTCTAAAATAGTATCATAATTATTTCCTGCCGATGTTACCTTCATTTTCACAGGAACTGGCTCTGAGTTCACACTGAGTTATGCTTCACGTTTTAATTACAATAACATGTCTCAAAGAGGAGATAGGACATAGTTTCAAAAAAACACACACCAGAAAAAACAAAGCCAAAACCTCAAGACAAACAAAATAAAAACCACTGTAAGCTCTTTTATTTGAGATTATAAAGATAACATGAGTTACAAAACAGCACTGTCTTATGCAAATATTTTAGAGCTTCCCGGATCCATAAGATATCCAAAATATAATTATATACACATTGTATATGTATATATGTGCACTATACACACATGCATGCATATTTTTAAATACAGGAATAAAGCTACCATTGTTGTCAACATCAGTAGACATGAACTGGGCATGGTGGTGCAGACCTGTAATCCCTGCACTCAAGTGACTGAGGCAGAAGATCTCTGAGAATTTAAGGCCAGCCTGGGATACATAGTGAGTTCAAGGCTAGCCTGAGCTATATAGCAAGATCTTGTCTCAAAAAAAAACAAAAACAAAAACAAAAATTAGTAGATTCATTAACCTGGCTTGTAAATATTGGTAACTGATTATTTCTGAGTAACAATTATGGCTCAATATTGGCTGTGGTTTTGTCTAGCTATGATTGCAACCCAACAAATAATATGTGCCAGCATTTGAATGATAACCTCTCCTAAAAGTTCACAACAAATGCCTTTAGCAGCAGGCATGATCAACTCTTCCCCAACAGTAAAAATGTCTTGGGGCCAGGATTTAGCTCAGTGACTCTGCCTGCCTCACAAGCACAAGGTCCTGAATTTGATCCCCAGTGCAGCTTTAGCAGTGTGGTTAACCCCTAAGAATGATGCTATGGGTGCAGATATATTGGATGAAGTGATAGCCTTCAATAATGGCTTCTGTTCTTTGTGCTCACATTTTTATTTTATTTACTTATTTTTTAAAATTCCAGAGGCTCATCTCTTAACACAGGGTGCTTGGTCTCCATGTGGCAAAGCATTTTTGAGGGTCTTGTGGCTTTTTTTGCAGTTGGTTAACTCATATTATACAAAGCAGACTTGGAGAATATCAATCACCTGTTGCAAAGAATCCATAATTTAATTAGGTCTCTTGGTATTTCCCATTAAATGCAGCTTTCTTTTTGTTGGCAGTCTTAGGGTTTTCTGCTGTCTCATATTTGGTTCTTTCTCATTTTTCAAAGAAGTTCACCAGTGACATTCATTTATTATCATTTTGTCTAGGGTTGACCTGTGGGCTTAAAAAAACTTACCAAGACCGAGACAAGTGAACAGTGCTGGAAAGAGTGATATACAGAGATAGCAAATAAAACAATGGGCCGTGCATGGACTAAAAGAAAGTGCTGGATTCTGACTTAAAGCCTGCCACCAGATGCAACTTTACAATTGAGGTACATCAATTCGTTTGCCCCTGTAAAGCCTGCCACCAAATACACCTTAAATTTTACTTGCCCATCACCGATAGATTTTTGATATGAGTTTGTAAGCAATCGATTTATTATGGTGTCTGTTTAGTGAAACCTCTCTGCTGACGTTAATCTATATTTGCAGCCACTCTCTAGCACTAGCATGGACACCTCAATTTCTCTGCAGATCACCAGGCATTAGATTTCATAAGGAGCACACAACCTAAATCCCTCTCAGGCAGAGTTCGCAATATGGTTCACAATCCTGTTAGAATCTGAGGCCGGTGCACATACGACAGAGGGCGGAGCTCAGGCCGTATCACCAGTGACGTTGAAGAGCTGTGAATACAGATGTAGCTCTGCTTGCTTCCCTGCTGCGTGGCCTGGTTACTCATAGCCCATGGACGTTACTGGAATGGTACAGGCACACCAATTCAACTAGCAATTATGAGCACAGAGGCGAGCGGCAGCAACATAACCATTAAATGTCATGATGGAAATTCCCAGATAGGTGTTAGAGAAAATGCTTGCGACTGATTGCCTTCTATTTTAACCAAGTTGCTTTTTCCAAATTGATGCTAACATTTTCAAGGTTGTTTCTTTAAAATTTGGTGCACTTGTGTTTTTCGTAAACCATAGCTTGATTAGTTTGTAGCATTGTCTTTTACTCTAGTTATAATTGTTGTATATATGTTTGACTGCAAATGACAATCCTTTCGTTAAAAAGTTTACAATAATAATGTAACAGATATTTTGTTAAATAGTCACAACAGATGACAGTTGTATTTGGTTGTTGTTTTTGCTTAGCTTTATTGCAATATTATTTTATTTGAATGTTTTTCTGCCTATAAAATCTCCAAATCTGTGAACACTTGATTTAGAGTAAAATTAAGCTATTAAATAACTTATACACTTTTTGATTTAAGAATTTTGAGGTTATGATTATTATACTTTTAGGAGCATAACTTCTATGAATGATTAATTTTGTTTGAATTCTATATTTTCTTGTAGCACTCAGAATGCTACCATAGTACCATTTTTTCTTATCATTGAGTTTATTGGTACTTTTCAGGTATACAGTACAGTTACATTCATCATTGGGATCTTGTACCTTTACATGACAGGTTTTGATTCTCATTTTTTCCCCATAGCCCTGTGCTCCCTTCACCTGCTCCACCCTTCCCTATTTACAAAAACGTCGTTTCCATATTTTCATTTTCTCATAGTTTTTCTTTTCCCTTCCTTTCCCCTACCCTTCCCACTTCACAGTACCATTTTAAAAATGTTTTAAGACTTAAGTCAACAGCTTCCAAGGTTCCTGTTCCGACCTTTAATTCTTTTATATCCAAGGGACATTTTTAAAAGGGGAACAATAGAGAAAGGCTGGAAAGACATTTTTAAATGAGAAAGTGAATAGGGACATTGGTGTCTTTAAGATAATATTTTTTAAAACTAACTCCTGTTAAATTTGATCAAGATTTGCCAGTCTATGCACATTCAGGTTTCAGTTACTATAAAACAATCTTGCTTTTATTCTAATTGACTTTGTTCCCCTTAATATTATGGTAATCTAGAAAGATACCCAGCTGAGCTATGGCTGGGTCAAATGGAACCAAAGAATCATATCATAGTGACATATGCACACCTATGGTTATAGCAGCACAGTTTGTAATAGCTAAAACTTGAAAACAGCCCATCTGACCATCAGTTGGAAACTGGATAAAGAAGATGTGGTTTTTCTATAAAATGGAATATTACTCAGCCATAAAGAATGAGAAATTAGAGTCATTCATAGGAAAATGGATACATATTGAGGATATACTCCTAAGTGAAATAAATAAGTCACACATGTGTAAATACCAAATAGTTTCTCTGGTGTGAAAAACTGCAATAGTACACAAGATCCTCATGGGATAATTAACAATGTGAAATAGGAAGAAAGGGGCTAAAGGTGTAGGGAAAGTGGGAAGGGTACGGGAAAAGGAATAAGGGAAAAGAAAAAAATATGAGAAAATGAAAAAATGGAAATAAAGTGTTTGTAAATGGGGAGGGGAGGAGGGGGTGAAGGGAGGGTGGGAACAATGGGAAAAAATGAGAACCAAGACCTGTCATGTAAAGGTACAGGATCCCTGTAATGAATGTAACTGTACTGTACACCTAGATTGTACCAATGAACTCAATAAAAAGAAAAAAAAATTATGGTAGTCTAGATGTATACCACTGAAAATAATGTTCTATTTAAAAATAACAGTAATTGTATTTATAGGTGTATGTGAATAAAGAACATGAAGGAGGTGGAACATCAAGAGCACTCCAAGCAATATAATTTATATAATATTTGTACACATTCCAAATTGAAAAATTGTGTGTGTGTGTGTGTGTGTGTGTGTGTGTGTGTGTGTGTAAAAATGGAGTCCTTGATGCTAGGTGACTTTTCCATTACTCACAATATGTCTTTTAACTGAAAGAATGATTCCCGGAACCAACACAGAATGACCTAAATAACTTAGGTTAAATCTGAATTGATTCCTTGCAGAACTTTCTGAATTTAATCATTTAGCTTCCACTGATACAAGGGGGACAGACTTTCTTTAGCAGAAGCACTTAATGTTTATAATTGCTTAGATTTGAATGGAAACATTCCAAAAATCCATATCTCTTGAAAAGCTCAATTGTGCCTGGTAAATTCAAATGAAACACAAGCGTACAAATAAACAAATTTTATTTTCCAATACTGCTGCTGCTTCAATATGTGACACATTTGACTATATTGTTTAATATTTGTGTTGATACAGAATCTTGCAACTAACAAACAAGTATTAATTGAAATTGTTGAATTAGGCCGTGGAATGTTGATCAGTAGTTTGTTCTATTTTTTTCTTTCCTAATTTAAGCTAAACTGCATTATTTGGAATCACATTCTGCTTAAACTTTGGGAAAGCTGTTATTATTTGTTTATTTACATTTGTCTAGGAGTACTTTCTACTGTTTCTAATTACTATATTCCATGAGTCATAGTAATTTTTTTTGATCCCAAAATCGAACATGGGTCCTTGCACTTGTGAGGAAAGTGGCCACAGCAGAGTCATAATAATTTTAAGTAATCTTTTGCTATTCTAGGTATGAAAATAATTACTTGTTAATGACAATTTTAATGTAAGTAAATTTTCACTTTTTATTTTAGCATTATTTCTGTGTACAATCTTACCTGTTCAAACTGTCATATCGACATATGAATATTTCAAAATATTTAATATGCCAGGTGAATCATTTCATTTGATAAACTAAGGAACAATACAGAACTTCAACCTAGACTAGGTGGCAGTGAAAGGGGACAGATATGGGTCAGGCTCAACGAAGGGGAAAATGTTAGGATTCAGAGAAACAGAGTTGAGGCAGATGGATCCTTCGACAGGAAAAGATCGGCCAGTTGGTTGAGCCAGCATCATAGGCAGGCTAAGCCACGAGGTGAAAATTGGGTAGCAAGGGCAGATCATGCTAGAATAAACTGATGGATAGAAGTGTCAGAGCAGATGCTAAGGACCCAGCAACAGTCAAGATGGAGGAGAGAAAAGTGAGTATTAGATAAAAAGGAAGAGCAGAAATTAAAAACAAAATCAAGTTGTAGCATGAGGGGCTGAAGGAACCCTCAGATCATCTTTCAGCTGTCTTTTAAGTTGTTCCATGTTCCAGTCAACAGTTTCTGACATTATCATCTAATCTATTCACTTCATTGGCTCCTACATATTTAATATTCAACTACTTGATTCATTTTTACTATATGATTGTATGGTTCCTCAAAGATTAAGGCTCCTTAGTTGTGGGAAAAATGAGAGCTGAGTGCAGCCTGAGATCCACCCACCAATACAACCATATTCATCCATGCACCCACACACCTGAAGCAATGATGCTATAAAAACTATATTCTTAATATATGCAATGTGCTCAGACTTTTTTATTTTATTCTATTTCATTTAGGAAAATTTTGGGGACTCATTAAACTTATTTGTTCAAGACCAAGGAATTGATCACAGACCATGGTTTGAAAACGTTACTCAGCAACTCCATATAACTGATGCTGGCTAAGGTTTTGAGCTTGATGTCCCCTCTGCCTGCACACACTGTCCAGAGATCTCTGTCACCCTCCTTGGTGTAAGTTTCTACTCAGGTGTCACTGCTTCAGAGATGGTTGCCTTTATCACTCACTCTGAAGAAGGCCTCCTTCGCTCTAGCTCTATGGACAATTATCTTCACTTATTGCTTTATTTTATGCAAACATCATGAGAGAGGAGAGCCCATCATCTCTTTTCCCTGCTGCACTTTCACAAACCACGGTACTATGGTCACAATTATATGTATCTATATTTGTTCAAAATTCTAGGAGATTATTTTATAGTGAAAGTAACATTTTTTGGTCAATTTGGAAAGGGTTATTACTAGCAGGTAAAGGAGCTCTTCTAAAAGTACTGCTACATAAGCAAGTACTACTACAAAGAGAGAAATTAGTTATATACTTTGAGATAATTAGTAGTATACATAACCATATCTTTCCAATAGTGCTTTACTCTGTAATGACTACAAAACATTGTTCTTTGCTTTTCTCATGCTTAAATGTTAAATGCAAACTTCACTTTCACTTTTCATTGTATAGAAAGGGTTGGGAATTTTGCACATTCTACAGCTTGTACACTTTAAGAATCCCTTTACACACTTTCATGACTTACTTTATACACTTGATAACCCTTTAAGAATAGGAAATTACAACATGCCTTTTCAATGCTACCCAATGGAAATAAAAAATTTTATAGAGAAGTGGCAAGGACATTAGTCTTAACTACTTATACTAAAAAAAAAAAAAAAAAAGACTTTCACACAAACTGTAGAAGAGCATGTGAGCCTCTCAGCCTACCCTCTCAGGAGGGTAGAAGGGGCCACACACATGAGAAAGCCAAAGATATTCAAGCTTTATTAACTTCACACTATAT